GTAGCGCGTCCCTTTGGCACGTCCTGCGGTGCGACCCCATGGCGCGTCCCCTGGCACGTCGCCTGGCGCATCCCTTGGGACGTTTCGCGGCGCGTCCTCCTGGCATGTTCCCTTTGTCAATTAGCTCTGGGGCAGCTACTATGTGTTCAGGCAGCTCGAGCTTAAGATCCAGATCAGTTCGGTCAGGACTCGGATGCAAAGGAGGACTCGATCCACGACGCTATAGAGCACAACCGCGGCATGGCACATCGCAATTCAGCACGGGGCAGCACAGCACAGCCCTCGGCAGGGTACATCAAGATCGATACACTCAGCATTGCAACTTGGCACGTTCCTTGGCACGTTCCGTGGGGCGTCCCTTGGCGAGTCCCCCTGGCACGTCGCGTGGCGCGTCCCCTGGCACATTCCGTGGCACATCCATTGGCACGTTCCGTAGCGCGTCCCTTTGGCACGTCCTACTGTGCGACCCCATGGCGCGTCCCCTGGCACGTCGCCTGGCGCATCCCTTGGGACGTTTCGCGGCGCGTCCTCCTGGCATGTTCCCCTGTCCATTAGCTCTGGGGCAGCTACTAGGTGTTCAGGCAGCTCGAGCTTAAGATCCAGATCAGTTCGGTCAGGACTCGGATGCAAAGGAGGACTCGATCCACAACGCTATAGAGCACAATCGCGGCATGGCACATCGCAGTTCAGCACAGCGCAGCACAGCACAGCCCTCGTACATCAAGATCGATACACTCAGCATTACAACCTGGCACGTTCCGTGGCGCGTCCCGTGGCGAGTCCCGCACGTCGCGCGGCGCGTCCCCTGGCACGTCCCGTGGCACGTGCATTGGCACGTTCCGTAGCGCGTCCCCTCGGCACGTCCCGCGGTGCGTCTTCGTGGCACGTCCCTTGGCACGTCGCCTGGCGCATCCCTTGGGACGTTCCGCGGCGCGTCCTCCTGGCATGTTCCCCTGTCAATTAGCTCTGGGGCAGCTACTATGTGCTGAGGCAGCTCGAGCTTAAGATCCAGATCAGTTCGGTCAGGACCCCGATGCAAAGGAGGACTCGATCCACGAGGCTATAGAGCACAATCGCGGCATGGCACATCGCAATTCAGCACGGCGCTGCACAGCACAGCCCTCGGCACTGTACATCAAGATCGATCCTTTCAGCATTGCGTTTGCCCGTCGCCCAATCACGTCTTTGAAACGTTGCTATACCTTACATTTCTATATTCCTTTCCGGGTTCGTGGGTCGATCATTTGGATCTCGAGGGCGCAACAACTGTCCTGGGACCTGGCCAACACAGCAGCACCGGAATACATCTCTGTCCTGCTGACCTTTGGACCCTGATGGACCGAGAGTATGCCTTTGAAATCAGGCCACGCTTTGGTGAACCTGGGGCAACGGGCAGCAGCAAGGAACCCCAAATGTTCGGCAGCGGGCGAAGTGGGAGGCAAGCTGGCCCCCACGGGGCCCGAGAGGCAGGCAGCAGGACCAGGCGGTGGCATCGTAAACCGCGGGCCCAGGTTTTAAAGCACTGCCGTCGCGAAAGACTTTTCCTTCCATGGCAACCTCCTTGTGCCCAGAAGAGTCCCCAAGAAACCTTTAGAGGCCCCCAGAGAGGCCCAAGACATTCCAACACTGCATCCACGAGGCTGTCGAGAGACCTCTCAATATATCACAGCAGGTGTCCAAGAGGCCTCTGATCTACAACGAGGTTCAGCGGAGTGGAGGGATACGCGCATCCAGCCGAGACCTCGCGGCCCCCTATGAGGCTGCAAACTGCGCAATTGTCGTCATTTTCGTGGGTTCCTGGGAGGTCCAGCGGAGTGGAGGAGCACGCGGACCTGGCCGAGACCTCGAGGCTCCCTGGGAGGCTGCGAGCTGCACATTTGTCGCCACGTTCGTGGGTTCCTGTGCGTTCCAGCGGAGTGGAAGTGCACGCGGGCCCAGCCGAGACCTGTTGGCGTCCTGGGTGGCTGCGAACTGCGCAAATGTCACCACTTTCGCGGACTCTTGGGCGGTCCAGCGGAGTGGAGGGCCACGCGCACCCAGCCGAGACCTCGCTGCTCCCTGGGAGGCTGCGAACAGCGTAACCGTCGCCACTTTCGTGGGCTACTTGGAAGTCCAGCGGAGTGGAGGGCCATGTGCACCCAGCCGAGACCTCGCTGTTCCCTGGGAGGCTGCGAGCTGCGCATTTGTCGCCACGTTCGCGGACTCCTGGGAGGCACGGCGGAGGTAGGGGCAGCGTAGATCGACTTGAGACCTCGCTGCTCTGGGTGGCTGCGAACTGCGCAGATGTCGTCACTTTTGTGGGCTCCTGAGAGGCACGGCGGAGGTGAGGGCAGCGCAGATCGTGCGTATTGGCCATGTGTTCTTTTGTATGTAGCGTTCATACAAAGATGTGCCTCGCGTGGAGAAGGGCTTGCGTACGTCTCGGGGAATGTTTCAAAGGTTCCCAGTGGGGTCTCGGCCGAGCCAGTTGGCCGCGCAGAAGGACCCACAGAGACCGCAACGCTCGCAGCAAATTGCCCCAAGACTGGCCGAGATGGTCCAAGGTGGCCTCCAAGATGCCTCCAAGACGATTTCCAAGACGGCCCGAGGTGGCCCAACACGGACCAAGAGGCTTCACGACGGCTCCCCAGGGATGTCCGAAGAGGGCAACATCATGGTTTTCTTTTGGGTCCGTAGCCATTCTGGCTCAAGACAAGGGGTGAATCATGGGTTCTGGCCATGGGTGCTGCAGCGTTCTGGCCATGGGTGCTGCAGCGTCGGTTGAAGATAATGAAATTCGCAGATATGTCAAGCGTAGGGGGGATGAGCGTGTATTAGCGTTGGACTTATTGAAGGCGCATCCGCAGGCGCCTTGTTCGCGTCCACTAGTTGCTCGCTTGATTATCGGCCGTATGTTCAAACTGTTGGAGGAAGATGACGAGAAAGTGGGCGCATTGTGCGAGGAGTTCAAAGCGTCCCATGGACAAGATGACAAATCACAGCATGACTTTGCAAAGAAATGGTTCAACACGGTATACCAAGATATCTTAGGTTCGCAATTGGAACGAGATGCGTTGATGGCGTTTTTGGAAGGTTTCTTTCTCGTGAAAGGCGAGCGTGGTTTTGAGCTCACGCCGGATACGCTACAAGAAGATGTGATGCCATACCAGGGAAGCAGATTCTTTGCCTATTTCGTCTGCTTCGTCATGGACGAGTTCACGCGCTTGCGAAAACTATGGGAGGAAGCGACAGTGGCAAGCCCTGAAACCATTGTGAGCCTGTACACGAGTCCGCCCGCAGTGAGAAATGGCGTCATTGAATCAGATGCTGACCAAGAAATCCAACCGAACGGTGAGCCCCTGTCGTTGAAGAAGCGCACTCTTGTTATAGCTGATGCCGCAACTATTACCCTCGACCACTTCAAGCTGGGTAAATATGCTGTAGACGTGCGTGTAGAGAACCGTGCTACAGTGAAAGGGTACTTGACCGATTGCCATTACCATCCTCGCGGTTTTGGCACTGATCCTGTACCGTTGGCCACGCAATTCGAATGGATGAAGGCAAAGCAGGTGTTGTTCACGACTTTGCTCGGCATAGGGCAAAGGCTTCCTGAAGCAGCCCGTGTCCGATATTACAAGGCGGACGCAGCCACTCGGCTGAAAGATCGTAAATTCGCCGTCCGACCATCGCCGATTAATGACATGTCCAACGCTCAAGATTATTACCGAGATTATCACAACAAGCATATCCAACAAGATATACATTTGGTAATGAGCTATTCCTTCTTCGACCTGAAGAGTGACCACCCAGGGCAGAATGTGTTCAATTTGCGCCAGGTTGACCAGGACTTCCCAGATTTGTTCTCCGCGGCAGGGGAACTAAACATCCAGAAGCAGGCCCTTCACAACAACGACAGAGGCAACCTGGAGGATCTCAACGAGGAAAAGGTCACCGCGCTCCGCAACGTGTTCGCCCACCTCGAGGCACGGGACGCGCCAGCCCTGATCCACTGCGACATCGGCTGCGACGAGAAGAACGAGATCACAAAGAAGGAGTCCGTTCGCATCAAGAAATCGATTGGCGCGGCGGGTGCGTTCTGTTGCAGTGACTGCGGCGGCGAGGCGCAGGGCGATGTGACCGCGCCGGCTACAGGTGCACTTCGCAGCCTCGCGAAGGCGAGATCCGTACTTCTGAAGACGGACATGCTGAAGAGGAAAACATCGGACACGTCGAACCCCGACACAGCCACGCTATCCACGCCTGCTGTTTCGCGTTTCAAGTACGCTGGCATAATGGATTCGTTTTGCTCCTCTTTCACCGCCAACAAGATCATCTGGGCACATTTGGGTGGTCTGTCGCTTGAGTTGATTAAACAAGATGTTAGGCAGCACACTGCCTTCTTGCGTCAATTCTTGCGCAAACACCCGCACGTGTGGGTCGATGTTAGTTGGGATGTGATCTACAAGTGCTATTTCGATGATTACGCTGACATGATCGGAGAAAGCGAGGACAGCGATGAAGATGCACCTCCAGAAGTCAAGCAGTTGCGGCAAGAGTTTGCAAAGAACGTCGTGGAGACATATGTCGCCTTGTTCAACGAGTTCCCGCATCGTTTCTTGTCTGGCACGGATTTGGTCTGCACGCAGGAGAACGTGACATTCGATGTTTACGCGCAAGCTCTAAAGGATACGGGCTTCATATTCATGCTCAAGGAAGGACTTTCCGAAGAAGCATTCAATGGCATTGTTCTGGGCCAGAACTATTTGAATGTGCATGCCGATCTCGATCTGGTCTACCAAGCTCCAAAATTATTTTAACACGCTGGATCAGCACATTCTAGATTCCCGTGCTATAGCCTCTGTGAAGCTCTAGCTGCAACGAGAGCTCACGTGAGCGTTTGATCAGGCATGCCAGATACCGCGCGCTGGAGGGCGATCTAACATACGCGCAGGTGTGGCGCACACCTCGCTGGCCGCACGCAGCATGAGAGATGCAGCAAGCCGCTGGCCACGCCGCGAGCCCCCTCGGCAGCGCGGGGGTGGTGCCGACGGGGAGGGGCGGGGCGGGGGGAGCCAAGGGAGATGACGGGTGCGATGCTGGCTGCGTTAGAGGGGCGGCGGTCGGCCTGCGGGCCTCCTGCGGCCGGGGCTCCGCGGGGGGAGGAGTGCGGGCGCGGGCCCCGGCGTCGCGGCCTGCCCGGCTGCGCAGCGGCGCTGGGCTCCGGCGGTCGAGGCGTGGGGGAGGGGGGGGCGGGCAGGACGAAGAATCTAGTCAAGGGTTTTGGACCCCCGTGTGTGTGTGTGTGTGTGTGCCCCGATCGCCGGAGTAGTAACCTCTGCCCAGCCGCCGACGCAAAATGCGTGTGTGTGTGTGTGTGTGTGTGTGTGTGTGTGTGTGTGTGTGTGTGTGTGTGTGTGTGTGGTGCGTGCGTGCGTGCGTGCGTGCGTGCGTGCGTGCGTGCGTGCGTGCGTGCGTGCGTGCGTGCGTGTGTGTGAAAATGTGTGTGTGTGTGAGTGTGTGTCCGACGAAGGCATCTATTCACCACCACCGTGCCAGGCCAGGGCCATCCTGGGCCCCAGGATGGTGTATAGACCGACCCTCCTGGCCTCGACCGGGATGCCAGGGCCTGCAGGATGGCTCTGGCCCGGCACGGTGGTGGTGTGTAGAGGCCTTCTGCGTATGTGTCCGCGTCACACACATACATATATATATATATTTATATATATATATATATACTATATACATATATGGGAGATCCCGGGCCCCGGGCCCCGGGCCGGAACCCCCCTGGTATATAGGGTGCGGCCCTCTCCCGGGGCGCCCTTCCGGCGGCCCCCGCGCGTTCCAGCCCGCCCAAGAGGGCTCCAGGAGCGCCGAGAGAACCCCAGGATCGCTTCAAGACCGCCAAAGATCGCTTCCAGAAGGGTCAAGAGGCGCTCAAACCGCCCCAAGAGGCCTTCAAGAGGCCCCCCACGAGCGCCCCGGGAGACAACAATGGCCCCATTCCCTTCGTAAAACGTACATTTTTACGATATCAGCTCCCTTAGCTGTCGGAGCGGCCAGAAAGCCCCACGAGGCGCCCAAGGACGCTCCAGGACGACTGAGGACAGCCCCAAGACGGCCCAGGAGGGCCTCCCGGGACGCTCCTCCGGCGGCCCCCAGGCTGCCCAGTCCGCCCAAGAAGGCTTCAAGAGCGCCGAGAGAACCCCAGGATCGCTTCAAGACCGCAAAAGATCGCTTCCAGAAGGGCCAAGAGGCCATCAAACCGCCCCAAGAGGTCTCCAAGAGGCCCCCCAAGAGCGCCCCGGGAGACCAAAATGGCCCCAGTCCCTTCGTAAAACGTACATGTTTAAGATATCAGCTCCCTTGGCTGTCGGAGCGGTCAGAAAGCCCCACGAGGCGCCCTAGGATAGCCCGAAGACAGCCCAGGAAGGCCTCCCGGGACGCTCCTCGGGCGGCCCCCGGGCCTCCCAGTCCGCCAAAGAAGGCTCCAAGAGCGCCGAGAGAAGCCCAGGATAGCTTCAAGACCGCCAAAGATCGCTTCCAGAAGGGACAAGAGGCCATCAAACCGCCCCAAGAGGCCTCCAAGAGGCCCCCCAAGAGCGCCCCGGGAAACCAAAATGGCCCCATTCCCTTCGTAAAACGTACATTTTTAGGATATCTCATCCCTTGGCTGTCCGAGTTGTCAGACAGCCCCAGGAGGCGCCCAAGGACGCCCAGGACGCCTGAGGACAGCGCTAAGAGGGCCTAGGAGGGCTTCCTGGGACGCTCCTCGGGCGGCCCCCGGGCCTCCCAGTCCGCCCAAGATGGCCCAAGAGACTTCCCGGTCGCCCCGAGAGGGCCCCCGGAGCGCTCCGATACGGCCCAACATGGCCTCCAGAAGGGCCACGAGGCCGTCAAGACGCCCCAAGAAGGCTCCAAGAGGCCTTCAAAAAGGGCCCCGGGAGCCAAAACTTACTCCACGCCCAAGAGGGCCCCAGGACGGCCCCAAAAGGGCCTTAAAAGATCATTCAAAAAAGCCCGGATGGCCACAGTTCGTTGATTTGCGTGAGATGTTGTTGGATTTCTTCCGCGGCCACAGTTCGTTGATTTGCGTGAGATGTTGTTGGATTTCTTCCGCGCGGAGGAGACGGAGAGGGCGAAGGAGGAGGAGGAGGAGGAGGAGGAAGAGGAGAAGGAGGACGAGGCAGGGAGGAGGAGTGGAGGGGAGGAGGGGGGGAGAGAGGAGGAGGCTCGAGGGCGATCGACGATCGGCGACGACGACGGCGACGGTGATTGACGACGACGACGACGACGATGACGACGACGACGACGACGATCGACGACGGTCGACGACCGACGACGACGACGATCGACGACGATGACAATAGTCGACGGCGCCGATCGACGATCGACGGCGACGACGATGGCCACGCCGACGGCGGCGACGCTGCCCGCGTGACAGCCCAAGAGGCACACAAGACAGCCTCATCGAGGCCCCAGAGGGCCCCAAGACGTCCAAGAGCGCCTCAAGAGGGCCCGAGATGGCTTGAAGATGGCCGAAGAGGGCCCAAGAGGGCCTTCAAGAGGCAAAACTTTACCCATTCCTCGTGTAAAACGTACAATTTCAGCATACTCGCTTGCTTCGTCCTCAGCCCCGAGGAGCCCCAAGACAGCCCAAGACGGCCCCAACGGCCCCAAAGCCGGCCCAGGAGGCCCCCAAAACGGCCTCAAGGAGGCCCAAGAGGGCCTCGTTCGAAATCATGTTCCCAGAATTTTCTCCGGGAGCATGATTTCCGGGCTCCCAGGACGCCCAAGAGGGCCCGAGGACGGCCCCGAAATGGCTTAAAATGACATTCAAAAATTCCCAGAGGGCCACAGTTCGCTGATTTTCGCGAAATGTTGTTGGATTTCTTCCACGCGGAGGAGACGGAGAGGGCGAAGGACGAGGAGGAGGAGGAGGAGGGGGAGGAGGAGGGGGGGGAGGGGGAGGAGGAATACGAGAAGGACGAGGCGGGGAGGAGGAGTGCAGGGGGGAGAGAGGAGGAGGAGGCTCGAGGGCGATCGACGATCGGAGACGACGACCAGCGACGGTGATTCACGACGACGGCGACGACGACGACGACTACGACGACGACCGATGACGATCGACGACGATGACAATAGTCGACGCCGCTGATCGATGATCGACGGCGACGACGACGGCCACGCCGACGGCGGCGACGCTGTCCGACAGCCTCAGCGAGGCCCAAGAGGGCCTCAAAACGTCCAAGAGCGCCTCAAGAGGGCCCGAGATGGTTTGAAGTTGGCCGAAGAGGGCCTTCAAGAGGCAGAAATCGGCCCGCTCCCGTTGTACAACGTACGTTTTCAGCATACTTGCTTGCTTGGTCCTCGCAGTGCCCCAGACGCCCCCGAGCCCCACAAGACAGCCCAAGAGAGACCCAAGAGGGCCCAAGACGGCCCAAAAGGGTCGTCATGTGAGGCTCACGGAACCCCCAAGACGGCCCAAGAGGCCCCAAAGTTGGCCCAGGAGGCTCCCAACACGGCCTCAGGGAGTCCCAAGAGGGCCTCGTTCGAAATCATATTCCCAGAAGCCTCTCCGGGAACATGAATTCCTGGTTCTCAGGACGCCCAAGAGGGCCCGAAGACGGCCCCAAAAAGCCTTCAATGGACGTTCAAAAAGGCCCGGAGGGCCATAGTTCGTTGATTTGCGCGAGATGTTGTTGGATTTCTTCCGCGCGGAGGAGACGGAGAGGGCGAAGGAGGAGGAGGAGGAGGAGAAGGAAGAGGAAAAGGAGGAGGAGGCGGGGAGGAGGACGAGGGGCGGAGGGGGGGAGAGAGGAGGAGGCTCGAGGGCTATCGACGATCGGAGACGACGACCGGCGACGGTTATTGACGACGACGACGACGACGACGACGGTCGACGACCGACGACGACGACGATAGAAGACGATGACAACAGTCGACGTCGCCGATCGACGAACGACGGCGACGACGACGACGGCCACGCCGACGGCGGCGACGCTGTCCGCGTGCGCAAAGCCACCCTGGAACCAGTCTTTTCGGCATCGTTCGAAACCCTGTCCCCGGAAGCGTCTCCGGGAACATGATTTCAGGAGGAGGAGGAGGAAGAGGAAGAGGAGGCAGATTAGGAGGCGGAGGAGGAAGAGGAGGAGGAGAGGAGGATGAGTGGGCGGGAGGGCTCGGGGCCGATCGACGATCGGCGACGGTGATCGGCGACGGTGATTGACGATGACGACGACGGTCGTCGACGGCGACGACCGACGACGACGACGACGACGATGGACGACGATGACAACAGTTGACGCCGCCGATCGGCGAACGGCGACGGTGACGACGTCTTCACAGTGCCACCCCGAGGAGCCCCAAGACGGCCCAAGAGGGACCCAAGATGACCCATGATAGCTACAAGCCAGCCCAAGAGAGCCCCAAAAGGCACCCAACAGAGCCACAACGGGGGCAAGCAGAGCTGCCTATAGAGATTCTCGGGAGGCCTCTTCCGCAGCGTCCGAAATCATGTTCCCCGGAACCCCTATAGGAACATGATTTCGGGGTTCCCAGGACGCCCAAGGGGGCCCTAAGACGGCCCCGACAAGTCCCAAAAGGACGCTCGAGAAAACCCGGAGGGACACAGTTCGTTGATTTCCGCGACATGTGGTTGGATTTCTTGCACGCGGAGGCGGTGGAGGAGGAGGATGAGGAGGAGGAGGAACAGGAAAGGAGGAGATGGGCGAGGAGGAGGGGGAGAAGGAAGAGGAGGACGAGGGGGGGAGGAGGGGGGTGGAGAGGGAAGGGGGGCGGGGGGAGGAGGAGGGAAGAGGGATGATGATGATATTGATGATGATGATGGTGATGATGATGATGATGACGGGGGAGGAGGGGGAGAGGGGGAGGAGGAGGAGCAGGCGGAGGAGGAGGGGGCGGGGAGGAGGCAGGGGGCGGGACGAGGAGGGGGGGGAGAGGAGGAGGGGAGGAGGAGGAGGAGGAGGAGGAGGAGGAGGAGAAGACGAGGAGGAGGAGGAGAGGAGGAGGATGAGGGGGGGGGGCGGAAGGAGGAG